CTAAGAATGGCGATACTCACTGACGATGCCGGCAAAACGTTTGGGAATGTACCACGTCCATGGTTCAACTTTGGAAATGATGTTGCATACAATGGACTCCGGACTAGGTGCGTTCCTCTAAGTCTTCCTACCAATATGACCATGTTGCGAAAACAAGTACAATGGACCCCGGACTAGGTGCGTTCCTCTAAGTCTTCCTACTAATATGACCATGTTGCGAAAACAAGGTCAAACAACCTGTATACTGGAAAATAAAGTTTTCCGATACAAAATAAGGTGAGGATGTGAAGAACTGACAATTCGCATGCTTCAGCTGGCTTCATTGTACATTCCGGACTGTCCGGCATTGCTTCGCTACCCAAATCCTCATTTTCTGGGAAAAATAGGCTGCTCGGATGTGTTTTTTCTAATATCTGAATAGATCTGGACTTGCCTCGTCTTCGCGACTTGTTTTTGACTTCAGGGAGACCACGAAGGCGGTACTTTGTATTGAATCTTCTGCCCTTGACCCCCTGCTCCCCTCCAGCATTACATCATAGACTGAGTACTCTCTCGGACGCCTCTCCAGCCTCGAAACCAACGTTGTCAAGGGGAATCGCTAATCTTAACTACCAATCAAGTTCACGAGGCTCCGCAGATGGGGTGTGTATTGAAAGAAACGAGGATATGGAGAGATGTAGATGGAAAAGGGGATGAGGGGCAAGTGAATACGTGAAAATGGTCACTTGCCACTTTTACAAGTCCTAGATTGGTACCAATTAGGGTGGTATTTTTTGATGATGCTGACAAATGTGAGAGTGTAGCGAAGACGAGGATTATGCTTTCGTTAGTAAAACTGCAGCAGACATTCTAAAGCCTACATTTCACATATTCACCGGACATCTCCCCTGTTGGAGGATCACATGATGCGACTTCTAGACACTCTGCAAGGCCTGCAGCAAAGTGAAGTTGGCATCAAAGCTTCACGTCTTTGAAAAAGTTGACTTTTATGATGTTATGACATTTTTTCCAGAAAAACAGCTAGAAATACATATTTTTGAGAACAGGCACATTGAATAATGTGATGTGCTCAAAGCATTCTCAGGCGTGACGGCTGAGTGCAAATGTAGTACCAAGAAAGTGTGAACAACTTCCCCACCCACGGTTGCTGTCTTCATTTGCCCATCGCAAATGCGACCTTCCGTTATGGATAGATACAGTTGCCGATTTTATCGTAATCAACAACCAACGGTTCATTGATCAAACCGCCCCTCGGCCAGCGTGAAACTGAGGCTGTATGGGTGATGCGATTGTGTCACCGTGGCGAGGCATCCTGCATTATTAAGCAAAGATTGACAATTGACCGGCAAACGGAGGCCTTCCCCCATTTGCACGAAGACTAGCCTGCTTTCGCACATTTCAGGACGGTTGGCAGGGCATTGGGGAAACAATTAATATTTAATCGCTTATGCAATCAGCCATGCTGGTAGCCCAGTTTTACGCTTCTGCTCACCGGCGAATGTCGGCTTGACGGTGATTTCGGTAGATTGCTTGGCCCATAGTCCTATCCATCGCCTGCAATCCGGCCGGGCTGGCATGTCGGCCTGGAGACCGGCGCTTCTGCTCGACGGGGCGGCGGGTGGCAACCGAATGGGGAGTGAACGAAGCAGTCGACGGAGAGGAGTTTTGGGCATTATTCGCGTTTCGGACAGGCCAGAGATCAGGGCTACCTGCGCTCTCTTGCTCCAGCACAATGTCGACCATTGCGAAAATATGAGAAGTTGACACACCCAAAAGGGCCAGATCGGCTAGTTGCACGTCTGACTAGTTGCTAACACTTGATACAACTGAGCAATGATAACAAGAGACGATTATTTTCACATTAGAGTAGAGTTTCGAGACTACCAGTAAATCAGTAGTATGAGATGTATTCACCTAATTTTGTTTAAGGTGATGAAGGACTGGTAGTAGAATTTTCCCATAATGATATGAGTTGAGCTGACGTTTCCATTCAATTTCACATAT